CTGTTGTTCAGCGGGCATTTCCTCAGCAGTTCATTCCCCGGCCCTTTGCCCAGTTCCAACAGCTCAGACCTGTAGCCCCGCCACGGCCCGTGATTACCAAGGCTTAACTGTGATACCCTTTTTATATTTATGCCATTTCTAGAAAAATAGTTTGATTTTTACATTAATAGTCTCTACAAAACTTTGTAATGCATTGTGTGAATAAAAGTTAAACGAACTCCATTGGTATAAATTTGCACTGCAATATATAGACATACACACACAATCACATGCACACATACACATACAAACACAAACTCACACACATAACCACATACACAAAAAAGATATTTCCTCTGCGGGGCCATTGTTTTATATACATACATAAATACATACCTACATGCATATTATACATATATATATATTATATATATATATATATAATATATATATATATATATATATATATTATATATGCATATATATACATATATTATATATATATATATATATATATACAATATATGTTTATTATATATATATATATATAATATATATATATATTATAATATAGATATATATATATATAGACATACACAACAATCACATGCACACATAACACATACAAACACAAACTCACACACATAACATCCACATAAAAAGATATTTCCTGCGGGGCCATTGTATATTCTGAGTAGGAACTGTATTAGCGTCATGCACAACCACAGGAGCAACATCCCATGGGTGTGTCGTAAATTATTTGAAAAAAAAATGTACATTTAGATTAGACCCTTTTACATTTCGTAAATGACCTAAACAATTCAGACAAGCTTTTGATGACCCTTACCGAGTGATTGTTACAAGTCCAAGAGCTGACAGTAGGCTACTGCATTTTGACTGGGTTTCTGTGATAGTTTAGGTAAGGACTAATAGAATTTCCCGGGTCTATCCTTCCCCTAAGTGTATATAATATAGAATTACAGTGGAAAAGCTGATACTTGTACCTGTAAGGTATCCCCGTCCTCTGATTTATTTTTTGTATAATTAGGCTTACGAAAAGACAAATGCATTTAGTGTAATATTACAAATGATTTGCATATATAACTAGAAAAAATCCTACACTTCTGGCCATGAGACATGAGCCTTCATTTAAAAATAGAATCTTAAATAGGTTGCGTTTTCAGTCACCAGACACTGCAGCATGTTCACTTATGATACTTTGAGGTCATGTTTACAAAATATGTCACTGACTAAGCCAACGCAAAATATATATTCTATACGGTTAGAGTAAAAGCAAGACACGCAAGTTTATACAAAAAATATATTGTGGTTGGCTTAGTCCAGTGAACATATTTTGTAAACATGACCTCAATGTATATAAGTGACATGCTGCAGTGTCTGGTGACTGAAAACGCAACCTATTTAAGATTCTATTTTAATGAAGGCTCATTCTCATGGCCAAGAAGTGTAGGATTTTTTCTAGTTATATATGCAAATCATTTTAATATTACACTAAATGCATTTGTCTTTTCGTAAGGCCTAATTATACAAAAATAAAATCAGAGGACGGGATACCTTACAGGTACAAGTATCAGCTTTTCCACTGTAATTCTATATTATATATACACTTAGGGGAAGGATAGACCCGGGAAATTCTATTAGTCCTTACCTAAACTATCACACAAACCCAGTCAAATGCAGTAGCCTACTGTCAGCTCTTGGACTTGTAACAATCATCGGTAAGGGTCATCAAAAAGCTTGTCTGAATTGTTTAGGTCATTTACGAAATGTAAAAGGGTCTAATCTAAATGTACATTTTTTTTTTCAAATAATTTACGACACACCCATGGGATGTTGCTCCTGTGGTTGTGCATGACGCTAATACAGTTCCTACTCAGTAACATATACAATGGCCCCGCAGAGGAAATATCTTTTTTATGTGTATGTGGTATGTGTGTGAGTTTGTGTTTGTATGTGTATGTGTGCATGTGATTGTGTGTGTATGTCTATATATATATATATATATATATATATATATATAATATATATATATATATATATATATATATAATATATATATGTGTATATATATATATATATTATTATATGTATATATTGCATATATATATATATATATAATATATATATATATATATATATATTATATATTATATATATGTATATATGCAGTAGGTATGTATTTATGTATGTATATAAAACAATGGCCCGCAGAGGAAATATCTTTTTTATGTGTATGTGGTATGTGTGTGAGTTTGTGTTGTATGTGTATGTGCATGTGATTGTGTGTGTATGTCTATATATTGCAGGTGCAAATTTATACCAATGGAGTTCGTTTAACTTTTATTCACACAATGCATTACAAAGTTTTTAGAGACTATTAATGTAAATAATCAATTTTTCTAGAAATGGCATAAATATAAAAGGGTATCACAGTTAAGCCTTGGTAATCACGGGCCGTGGCGGGGCTACAGGTCTGAGCTGTTGGAACTGGGCAAAGGGC